AGTATCATTTTTCTGATCCTCTTGACAGGCTATTTCTTAAATACTATTTCTTAAAGATACTCTATTATTTGGCTGTTTGAGTCATCTTTTAGTTGCTGCATGTGGTATCTAGGGTCCCAGACCAGGGATAGAACCTGGGCCCCCTGCATTGGAAGTGCAGCATTTTAGCCACTGGACCACCAGGGAAGTCCCAATGGTCAGACTTAAATGACTCTTGTCAGTGCCATCAATGACCTCTATTATCACCAAATCCAATGATCACTTACAAGTGACAGAGTTGACATGATTGGACACTCCCTCCTTGATACACTCTAGCCTTCCATGGGAACAGGTGCTCTGCTGGTATCTCTTTAACATTCTGGAGAACCCCAGAGCTCAGTCCTTTGGTTTCTCTTTTCTATCTACACTCTCTTCCTAAGTAATTTTATCCAGTCCCAAAGCTTTAATTACCATCTATATGCTAATTTCCTCCCAATCTCTAGCTCCCAATGCTCTTCCATTCAATGTCTTATTAGACATCTAGTAGAAGACATTTCCTGGACCAAAATCCAAACTTCTGATCTTCCTCCCAAACACTTTCCTGCAGTTTTCCACATCTTAATAATAACTCCATCTTTCCAATGGGTCAAAAAACCAGCAGTCTTTTCCCTCATCCCTCACATCAAATCCACTGGCAAATTCCTCTCCTCTGCCTTCAAATACATCTAGAATCAAAGCATTTCTCATCACGTTTACTTCTCCCTCCTCAGTCCAAGCCTCTACCACCTCTCTAACAACCTCCTAGTCTCTCTGCTTCTGCCCTTGCATCCCCTTCCCCACCATCTCATACTTTTTCTCAACACAGCAGAATTTTCCAAATCTAGACTGCATCATTACTCTACCCTAAACCTTCCCATGTTACTCAGAGTAGGAGCCCAAGTCCTTCCACAGGCTGACACAGCCCTGTGGGATCTGGATCCATCCCCATTACCACCCTCAGGCCTCTCCTACTTCTCTTGCCCTGCATCCCTCTGATCCAGCCACACTGGCCTTTTGCTATTCTCTAGCCTCCAGAGAAGTTCCATCTCAGGGTTTTTGCACCAGAGATGCCCCCGACCTGAAACGCTCTTAACCACACCTCTTTCGATTCTTTGCAAATGTCTTTTTCTTCAGGATTTCTCTATCCATTCAATTTAAAAAAACAGCTTCTTTACATCAACATTTTCTGTATGACCTGTCATCCTTATTTTTCAAAATAGCTACAGCAATCATCCAACATGCTGTTTTATTTGCAGTCCATCTACTTATGTAAGTGCAATGCGGAAAGGGACTTTTGTCTATTTTGTTCACTGCTGAATCCCCAGATGCTCAGAACCCAGTGTCTGACTCAGGAGGTAGTTGTTGAAACAACAAATATGCACATAGAATACTGTCCCAAAAGGCTCCTCCCCATCTCCAAACTGCATTCACCTGCTTCCTAAATAGTTTCTGGAATATCCATCTGGGCCCTCTAAAACCCATTTTCCACAGTAGCAGAATCATCTTAAAAATATTTCAGTCAAATCATTTCTTTAGCCAGCTTCACATCACCTTGTAAAATCCAAACTCCTTTTTCCAACTCATTTCACACACCCTTCTCCCCTTCACCCCCTAGATCACGGAATTTTCCTTTTTTTACTTCTTCTCTAAGCCAAACGAGATGCGGGGCCTTTGCGCTATCTGCCAGGAATGGTCATTCCCCATCTTTGCATGGCCAGGATTCCCTTGCCATTTAAATGTCACCTCCTGCGAAAGGTCTTTACGCAATTACTATCCTTTTAAAATGTCAACACTGTACTCATTAAAAGCGGACTTTTTCATTGCCTTTGTCTCTTCACCTGGAGACACGACCCCTCGCCTGAATGGCCGGCTGCACCTCTGTGCCCAGCGCAGTCGCGGCCCCACAACACGGCAGGCGCTCAATAAGTATCAAACGAATGCACTTCGTTAGGGCTCACTCGAGCCTACCCAGGGCACTGCCCTCCCCGCCTTTTCCCGCGCCCTCCCTGGATGCGGCCCGCAGTCGGCGAGCATCTCCACCCCCTCCCTCCGCATCCCGCCTCCGTCCCCCTACCTGTCGGCCAACTCCAGCACCTCGTGCACACTGCCCGTGCTGACGCGGATGCGCCCGGTGTACATGTATTCGATAACGGCTTCCACCGTGTCGGGTTCGGGCCCGGGCTCGGAGCTCCACTTGCGCATCTCCACCCGGCCCGAGCGGGACTCGGAGAACTGACCCGAGAGCAGCGGCGTGAAGTACTCGGTGGCGGCAGCCAGCACCGAGCGGTGGGCCCGGAACTCTCGGCCTCCCGCACCGCCGAAGCACAAGGTGATGTCGCAGAAGAGGCCCTGGCGCCGCTGTTCGTTCTGCCTCCACGACAGCTCCGAGCAGTGAGAGCTGCACTCGAAATCCTCGGCCTCCGGGCCAGGGTCGCCCCCGCTCGCCTCCATTGCAGACAAACCAGGCCCAGGCCCAAAGTCCACCGTGCCGCTACCTCTGACTTCGGCGGCCAGCCCCGCGGAGCCGGCGGCGGCTGTCTCCATGCTCTCCATCTCCAGCACCTGCAGAGACGCAGCCGCGGCCGCCGCTGCCGCCGCCGCCACAGCCGCAGCCGCCATCTTGACGCCGCCGCGCCCGACTCCTCAGTCCCCGAACGATTCTGCCGTTCTGGTACGACACAGAGGGATTCTGGGAATAAATAGTGGGCGCGGGGCGGAGCCGGCCGCCGCTGGGTCTGCGCACGCGCCGCCGCGCCTGTACTACGGCGTCCCTCTCCGGTAAGGGGCAACTGTTGTTGTGACTGTCTTCCCCGGAGGCCGCCCATCCACATGCCCATGGGGACGATGGATCTTTCCTCCTCCTAGGGAGCAGTGTGTTCTTCGTGGTCGTTTTGTGAAACAAAAGCCACCTTAGACCCTCACCCATTAGTGTCTTGAGTGGCACCGTTGGATTTTTCATTTAAAGGTTTAGAATGGCCTTGGAGTAAAAATGGAAAAAGAAAAAAGATTTGAGACTGAGGCCCAGTTAAGTGAATGAGGGTGAGCAAGTAACTTACTGTCTTTGAACTAATTTTTCTTTTAAAAACGGGATACTGTCTAACTTGGCAGATAGCTGTGAGGGTTAAATGAGGTGTTTAATCTTCAGCTGTTTTTACATAGTGCTTGGTGACAAGTACTGTTCCATACATACTTGTTTAAAAGATGAATAAAAGCCACTTTGAGGCTTCAGGCAAGGGAGTGACTTAATCAGATGTACATTTAAAAATCTCTGGTGGGCTGCTAGGATAGTGGGCTGTAAGGAGACAAAAGTAGAACTAGGGGCACTAAGTTAGCAGACCGATATGGACAGATCAGAGAGTTATTTAAAGGATAAATCTACAGGACTTGGCAACCAGAGAAGTGAAGCCAAGGATGCCTTCCAGGTGTTTGGCTTGAGTATCAAGTAAACCTTTGGTTTCCATTCACTGAGAAATGGGAGGCACAGTTTCACCGGAGAAGATACTAGGGTTTATTTTGAAGATAGTATCTTTTTAAAATCTATTTATCTGTCTGCACCTGGTGGCATGCTGGATCTTAGTTCCCCGACCAGGGATGGAACCCAGGGCTGCTTGCAGTGAGATTGGGCAGTCCCAAACACCGGACTGCCAGGGGAAATCCCTTGATTCTTTTTTAAGAGATGTCCTTTTTTTAAAAAGATCTTATTTGATTGCGAGCTATCTTTGTTGCTGCACTTGGGCCTTCCCTAGTTGCAGCGGGGGCTACTCTTCCTTGCCATGCATGGGCTTCTTACTGTAGTAGCTTCTCTTGTTGTGGAACACAGGCTCCAGGCACTCAGGCTCAGAAGCTGTGGCTCATAGGCTCTAGAGCGTGGGTTCAGTAGTTGTAGCACATGGGCTTTAGTTGCTCCTCAGCATGTGGTGGAATCTTCCCAGGCCAGGGACTGAACCTGTGTCTCCTGCACTGGCAGGCAGACACCCATCTACTGTACCATCAGCGAAGTCCATGGATGAACATTTTAAAACTGCATGTAGTAAAACTTAGTAAGTACATTTAAGAGGAATGCAGATGAAAATATATGGATGACATGAGATGGTAGGCTTTGTTACTATATAGTTTATTTAAACCAAACTATGATAATACAGAGGAAAGACTGAGGTGGCAGCTGCCTGGAATCTTTGTGGATTACAGATGCAAACTGGCTGGAGAAGAGTCAATAACAGACAAAAGTCAGTTGCATAAATACAGAGAACATAAGACACAAGACATTTCACAGCTTTTTGCTTTGCGCTTCCATTTTAAACATATGTATGTTACAAGTTTACATTTTAAATTACCACTCCCCATACTCTGTAACAATGGCTAAGGATGCAGTGGGTCCCATTCCCCCTGACACAAGCAGACACTGGTCTGCAACAGGGAACATTCCCGGGGGATACCAAACAAACTCCTAACACACAACATACAAAAAAAGATTCTTAAAAAAAAAAATCAGATTAATACAATGCTCTTCAGGTTATATGAGGAAGAAAAGGGAAAAAATAAGATATTAGGGGTAGGGGTCCTTTAAATGGAAAGTATCTTGAGGTCTTAAAAGTGTCATTCCCTTCCTTCAAGGGAAAAACAATTTTTTTTTTAAGCTAATGGAAAAAATAAAGAAAGCAACATTGTAACACCCTCCTGAGGAAGCACACTATCCTGACAGTGCTTAGATGCTTCCATATAATAAATATAGCAGGTAGCAGAGCAATGTCACAAGTATTGGCTGGGTTCTTATTTCTATGCTTATAAAAAAAAATACTAAGCTTCTTTGTGTAGACTGAATAGTGTTAGCCTGTGGGTGTTGGTCTTCAATGTCTGTACACTGGGGGCTGTTTATACTCCAGGCCCATCCTTTAAGCAAGCTCCAGTGCCAGATGTCTGTGGCTATTTCCCAGGGGAAGAGTTCTCATCATCACTTTATTGTAATAGGGTTCCTGGCTCTGTTACATGCTCATGTGTTCCGGAAGAACATAAGAAATATCATCCCATGGGTGACGGTAGAGCCCCTGCTTCAGCCTCTTCTGATCAAGATAGTGTCCTAAAATAGAGCAAACGCATCTTTTTGTTAAGAGCTGCTAAGTGTTCAGTTTTGGTGAGGGAGAGAATATAAGGAAGGGAAATCTTACTAATACACACAAAACATGGGGAAGTACATCTAGATCCATCCCACAGGTAGATGTTTTGCATTGGTAAAAGGAACTGTTGGATTTCATTCTGTTTTCCTAGGCTAGCAATCAAACTCATTTCCAAGAAAAAAGGAACAAATATAAAGCGGAAGTTAAAAAAGGAAGAATTAGCATCAGTGATCAAGACAATGTGACAGCTCTTTGATAGAAACTGGCCTGGGGAATTCCCTGGTGGTTCAGTGGTTAGGACCCAGATTTGCCCCAGCTTGAGGAACTAAGATCTTGCAAGCTGTGCAGGACAGCCAAAAAAAGAAAAAGAAAGAAACTGGCCACATAGGTAAGTGGTATACCTGAACCATGGGGTAAAACAAACAAAAACCGAAACCAAACAGAACTCTTACTACCAACTTACCGATGAAGCCCATACTCCTTCCCAGCACAAAGATGCCGTTGAGGGCTCCAATGTCAATATATTCATCAGCTTCCTCCCTGTAACACACAATTCACTTGTAGTTTTCAAATGGCTCACATGACTGCCCTCCTCCCCACAGACACTATAATTTCTGCCCAGGAATGAGAAGCTAGCTCTCTTTGGACTCTAATTAGTAAAGGGAGGGTGTTCTGGGTGGTAGGCATAGAGACAATTCTTAATGCTCTCTAATGAACGTGCACTGCTCTTGGAGTTGGGAGAAATCACCGAGAAAAATCAATAAACGTTAGGAGGAAGAAAATAGCTGCAAGCTCACCGAGTAAAGGACCCGCAGTGTCTAAGCATGTCTACAAATGCGACTCCAATTAAACCGTCTACATTCAGGATAAGGTTTGGTTTCTGGGAAGGCAAAAAAAAAAAAAAAAAAATTCAATGCATTTTTCATCACTATTCATTTTTGTTCCGCATGATGTTCCACTATGACTACTAAAACTACTACTATGAATTCCTGACCGATATTTAAAAGCCTCCCACCAACACATCCCAGTTAACAGGAGAGACTGTCTTGATTTCTAAGGTCTAGCAGAGGACTCTCGACACTGAGTACGTGTCAAGTTAGTTAAGAAACAGAAACAAAAATCTGTCAGAAAACCAGGTTCGATTTTAGCTGCACAATCAAACTGTGACTTGGCAGTGATTTTCTCCAAGAAATTCACCCAAACTCCTGATTTGGGAATTAGGAACATTTCTTTTTACCTTGGAAGTGGTAATCTTCTCTACTTCCAGTGCGTAGTCGAGCAGGGGGGTGGCAGGGAAGTGCTGTCTGACATAATCTTTGAGGATCTGCACGCGCATGTCTGGGTTGTTGATCTAGGAAGTGATCCAAAGTTAGAGGAACCACTCTGACATGGCTGTTAAAAGACATGTTCCTGGGACTTCCCTGGTTGTCCAGTGGTTAAGACACCGCACTTCCACTGCAAGGGGCATGGGTTTGATCCCTGGCAGAGGAACTAAGATCTCACAAGACACAGGACCAAAAAAAAAAAAAAAAAAAAAGACGTGTTCTTGCTTGTGGCACAGGTAGACACAGCTGTACGTGTCATATCCACTGCTGTGAGTTTTAAAGTTTCTGATGTCCTCTCATATTTGAGCCTCAAAACCACCTGAGACGTGGAGATGTTGGATAAATTAGCCATGGCTCCTACAGGGTCAAGCAGCAGGGCGCAGGACTTCCCTGGTGGTCCAGTGGTTAGAACTCTGCGCTTTCACTGGCAGGGGCCCAGGTTCAATCCCCCGTTGGGGAACGAAAATCTCAGGCCGAGCAGCACAGCCAAAAACCAAACCAAACAACAAACCAAAAAAACCCCCAAAAGCAGCACGCACCTTCCAATGGAAGTCTGAGGTTCTAGCCACTAGCCACACTGCTCATCAGCAACCTAGTTAAGATGTAACCAAGTTCTACAAAGTTCTTAGTTTTTCACTAAGTAAGCACATGTTGGCAGTGGGGCAGCAAAGTACCCCTGAAATTCCAAGAAACCCTCTGGACCTGCAATGAGTGTAGATGAACTCTCAGTTCAGAGACCCACGCTAGGCGGTCCCATCAGCAGGAGAGTGAGACGGACTGGGTGCCAAGTCCCAATACCACAGTGACCTCTTCCCTTGGCCAAGACACACAAGGTCAGGATGGACTCCAGAAAGGAAGGCACCCAAAGGCTGGGCATGGCCGCACAGGTGTGACGCGAGCCAGGCAAGGTGCCCTGTGCCGTGCGTGCACCGTCTGCCTGGGAGCTAGGGGTGGCTGGCCCAGATGGAATGTCCCTCAGCAGAAACCACTGTCTCCGGTTCAGTCTCTGCCATCCAGCCACCTTTGGACTTAGCCTGCACTGGCCCAGCGTGGGGATGCCGGGATGAATGCAGGATCCTCTTGTATTAATCCGAGTCATACGCCCCACTTAGGCTAGCAGAGTGACTAACTCACTGAGGTTTCTGGAGTGGTGGAGCCATGGACCCTGAACTGTCCCTGTGGGGCTCCAAGCAGCTGCCACATCTTCTTTTGTTCCCTTTGATTTCTAGACATGACTCGGCCCCAGGAGCCACTGAGATTTTTGGAGTTGTTACCCCAGTCCGCAGCGTTATCTTGTGACCGATGTGTCCCCTTAACCCTGACCTTAGTCCTTTCTCCTCTTAAGAGTCACCTGGGAAGCTTAAGCTACCAAGGTCCCAGTTCATCACATTTTCACACCACAACTGAACATGACAGAAGCTGTTCATGGGCAATCTATTTTATAATGGGAAAGAGAGCTGCTCACTGTTGGCGTCTGTCAGCAAAACTTTGCCTGCTGGGAGCCGAGAGCCCAGCTGTGCCCCACACCCTGTTGACCCAGTGCCTAAAGGAGAAGGACAACTCACCGACTTCACTCGGTGACCAATGCCCATGATAAGCTTTCCTTCCTTCTTCATCTTGTTCACAAACTCCATGGGGATGATGCCGCTGTCAAAGGCCTTGCTGAACATCTTGGCTGCTGCATCCAGGGCACCCCCAAACCGGTCGCCCTGTGGGAGGAGCCAGCCCATGTCACCCCAAGCTGTCAGTTTCCTTCGGCTTCTCAGGCTGATCCAGGGTTCCTCTCAAGGGCCCCCGGCACGGGGTCTCACACTCCACAGCTCCCTCTAGGACTGCAATGCAGCCAAGTGGCATGATGCCAAAGGTGGGTGTCCCCGGTGTTCACCTCCTAGGATGACAATACTCACGATGGTGAGCAGTCCCGAGGTGAGGCTGGAGACCAGGTCCTTGCCTGCCCGAGCACAGATGATGGTGTTATGAGCCCCAGAGACGGCAGGCCCGTGATCAGCCGTCACCATCAGGCACATCTCAATGAACTGGCAGGAGTACTTGGGCAACCTGGAGGAAGGCAAGGACAGGGGAGGGGACATGAGAGCTGGAACAAAGGCGAGGGGCTGAACAGGAGAGACACTGACAAGGCCACGGTCCTCCTGCTTCCCATCTCCTTGAACAAGTCACTCAAACTCTAGAAGGGCAACAAGCCCCCAATCCAGGTCTAACACTATCTTACAACTCCAAGGCAGAACTTTTGGATCCCTGAGTGGCTCTGGATGTTGCTGATATCAAATACTGCTTTTAAAATTGAGCTTAGCAAGCAGGGCTTGAAACCTCTTCTTTCGGCAGTTTTTTTCAGCTGAGCTGCTGCGACAGGATGTGACCTGTGTTTGCAGTTACTATTCTTCACGTGCCAGGCAGAGAGGAAGTGAAGGCCCTGGTCCCTTTCACAGTCACAGTGATCAACCTCCCACTGATGGTTAAGAACAAAGTTTGGGGAGTTCCTTGGTGGTCCAGTGGTTAGGACTCCACACTTTCACTGTTTGGGCAGGTTCCATCCCAGGTTGGGGAATTAAGATCACGCAAAGTGTGTAGCACAATAAAAAAAACAAAAAGAAAACCAACAAAATAAACAAAATCCCCCCAAAGTCTGAAGCTGTGGGCACACAAGAGCACATACAGTGAGGCCTGTCGAGTGTTACAAGCCTTGAACTTTTCCGAGGAAGAGCTCAAGGCAGGACCCAGACCCATCTCTTGGAGGTGAGAGCAGGACACACACCAAAATTTCCAACTGGCTTTCTGCCCAGGACCACTCCAAGGCAGATCTCTGTGACCACGTACTCATCGGCCTCCTTGCCCAGCTGTCGGTCCCATGGGAGGGCTGAGCTTGGGAGTTGCAGAGAAAACGATTTTTTCCCCCCGTGTAAGCGAATGACACACAAATTCAGAGGACACACAAGGTACTTTCTGCCTGATGAGCAACTCCACCGGGCCTTTAAGCCTCTTTAAGCCATTAGATGCATCCAGACCTTCTGTGCTTAACCCTGACCTTTCTTTCAACAGGTCTACATTCAACTCTGGCCCATTTCTTTAAAAGTTCCCAAGGGAAAGATCCTTGATCCAAGATCCTTGATGAGGTCACTGCTTTCTCCTTCTCTTGGTTCAGGCTGGCCTTTCCATCCCTTGAAGATCACCTGTATTGCTTTCCTCTGACCTTTCCATTGATCTGTGGCCAGAAAGCTTGGCCCTGGACGTGTTCCCCAAAGCTGCCCACTCCCTTGGCAGGGGAGGAAAATGAACACTAAATCATAAGGCCCTACCTTCTTCTGCCCTCCACTCCTCACCTTTTCTGGAACCAGAGGAGGCCGAGGACCCCACCAATGCCCATCTCCTCCTTGAAGACCTCGGTGATGGGCATGCCTGCGTAGATGAGCTCCTGTCCTCGCTCATCACAGATGCTGGTCATGAACGAGGCAGGTTTGCGGATCAAGCCCAGCTCCTGAGCAGAGATGGGGGCAGAGACAAGCAGGAATGTGGTGTTTGGAGATTCTCCCAGAATGTCTCCACTGTCTGTGCCTGGAACCAGTGTCCCAGGTCTTAAATACTGGCAGCCAAGCAACAACTCTCAAAGTCCTCCCGAGAAGGAAACGCAAAGCCCTTTGATTAGATCACTTGGGGCAAGAAAATAGAAGCAATCACTCCATGGCACCCGCTCAGCCTGGGCTGTTCCTTGTCTTTACTGAATGTTTGTGGACTCAGGCAGGACACTTAGCTGTTGGCATCCAGAGGTTCCTTTTAACCTCACAACAGAGTAACCAGCCCCAGGTCACCTGGCTAAGAAATAGAAGAATGACTCCAAAGGGACAATTTTTAACACTCAATACACAGCTCCCACTCCTCCAGCAAAGTGTAATGAGGCACATGTGGCTGGGGAAGTGGGAGAAGTCCCTCAACACATCCTTTTCCAAGGGGAGGGCACTGAGATCCTGAATCTTCTGTTTTCAGAGTTGGGGCACAAGGTGGGGTAGCATCAGCTAACCCTGTCCAAGCCCATTTCTTTAGTTATCCCTTCTGAACTTAAGAAATGCCTTTAATTATATTTTAATTACAGAAGCAACAGGAATACACTGTCCTTTGAAGAAATCTACACTAGAATAGATAAAGTCATGTTGCCTTTGACCTCCACCCCACCCACCCTGGTTTTCTGATTTTGTGTCTGTTAGTTTAGTGAACATTTTTCTGGACCTTTCTTTCTCCGATTTTATTTACACACATAGATACATGGAGAACAGGTGTCATTTTGCATTCCTACATTTTTCATACTCATAATAGAGACACTGTTCTACAATGTGCTATTTACTCAATGAATCTGAGCACTATGCATGTCAGCATATACCTAGATCTAATTTATTCCTTTTAACTGCTGTAGAGTATCCCCTCATGATAATTCCACACGTCGGCTATTCCTCCACCAATGACCATCAGCTCAAAAAATATTCTTGAACATGTGTACATGTAAGCATTTCCTTCAAGGAGTTTTCCAGACAAGGAATTGCTGAGTCATACGATATGAGCACTGTTACACTGGATTGTTGACATTACCCAAGTGCCTTTCAGAGAGGTTATGCCAACGCTACTCCCACCACCAACGAATCAATGTACCAGCCTCATCATGTGTGCTAAGTGGCTTCAGTCGCGTTCAACTCTTTGCGACCCTACGGACTGTAGCCCGCCAGGTTCCTCTTTCCATGGGATTCTCCAGGCAAGAACACTGGAGTGGGTTGCGATGCCCTCCTCCAGGGGATCTTCCTGACTCAGGAATTGAACCCATGTCACCTGTGGCTCCTGCATTGCAGGCGGATTCTTTACCGCTGAGCCACCATGGAAGCCCCTCCAGCCTCCTCAAACCCACACAAACAATATATCAGAGAATTTTTTTTTTTTGGTCTTTGCTGACCTGTAGGAGATAACTGGTATCGCAGTTTCTACTTTGGTTTCTTTTATAAGGAGTGAAGCTGGGCATCTCTTCACGTTGAAAGAACATCTCCTACCCATTGTTCTAATGGGTTATTGGTCTTTTAAAAATGCATTTTTAAGAAATCTTGTAGATAAGAGAATCTGCTGTATATCTATGTCCCTGCCTTAGACAAGTAGCCTGAAATCTCTGAGCAGGTGCAGATGGCTCTAGAGGACATTATCTGCTCCCAGCCCCCGTTTCCAGGTCAGGCCATACCACTGTGGGAGATACACACTGGCCTTGCCCTCCGAGGCCGTGCATGTTTCTCTGGCTGGTCAGAAGGGGCCAGCTCACAAACTCCAGCATACCTCGGCCACACACATGGTCAGGGACATGCGGGGCACCTACCCGGGCCCAAGAGTAGTCCATGGGCACCGTGGGGGGCGGCACCTCCTGAGCAGGTACAATGACTCCTCTGGCCACGAGATCCTCGTACACGGACCTGGGAGGCAGGGGAAGCGAAAGAGAACAGACATCCACGTGGATTTCATTCTTCTGGGCTCTTCTAGGGCATCTCTCAAATGCTCTTCCATCTAACCCCAGTTTCCCAGCCCCGTATCCCCCCGCCCTGTCAGCAGCTTAGCCTTACCAGGTGGATTCCCAAGAACTAAATGAAAACAGGTTCTAGCCAAGACCCGCCCCACTGCCTCTGAATGGGACCTTAGAGAAGGCTGAGACTGGAGGCCAAGGAAGGCCAGAGGGGAGGAACGGGAAGAAACAACAGCTTACGGAATGGATGAATGTTCCTACACTTGTCTCTCATTCATGGCCCACCAAGTAGGTAGGCTCAGAAACTGAATGTTTTAACCCCAGTCTGAACAGCCTGTAACTGCTGCTTTTAGAATAGAAAAAAGGAAAGCCAAAAAGGAAAGATTCTGGACCATCCGAAGAGCTGCCTTAGACACCTGAGAGAGACAGGCATATCGGACACCTGTATTTAGGCGAGGCTGCTGCCCTGGCGAGGGACTGGGAAAGGGGCAGGGAGGTGCCACCCTCCCCACGTCCACTTACTGGATGATTTCTCCAAGCTCATCGAAGCTCCGGGGTACAAACACTCCGGCCTCCTTCAAGGCCTGGTTCTTGGCAACTGCAGTTTCGGAAGCCTGGTTGGCACAAGCTCCAGCGTGGCCAAACTGGACCTGGAATGCAAAGGAGAACAGCTTTAGCAGGCCGGTCAACCCCCTAAGAGAGAGAAGGCCCCTGAGGATGTTGGCACTGATTACAGGCCAGATCCCACTCAACGCTCTATGTCACCAGTCCCCAACCTTTCTGGCACCAGGGGCCAGTTTCGTGGAAGACAATCTTCTCATAGACCGGGGTGGGGGTGTGTGTGTGTGATAGTCTCGGGATGATTCAAGTGCATTACATTTACTGTGCATTTTATTTCTATTATTACATCAGCTCCACCTCAGCTCATTAGACATCAGATCCTGGAGGCTGGGGACCCTTGCTCTACGTGAATCACTTCAGGCCCCCAGAAGGCTCACTCAATAGGTGCGATGGCTGACTCTCAGGCACAGATGAGAATCTGAGGCACTGAGACGTTCCAGAGCTTACTCAGGGTCACACACCTGGGGCACTGGAGCCAAGATATCAGCCTGGTGCCCAACTCCCCTAACACCTTCCTCTGGCTTCCCATGGGGGCGCTTACTGGGCAGGGATGGAGATGAAGAGACAGAATAGCAGTCAGTTTGGGGCAACTGTGAGAAGTTACAAACTGCCAAGCTTAGCTACGCGGAGCTCATAGGTGTGATCTGACTGTCCTGCGCATACTTTGTATGAAGTATGTACCCTTACTAAACAAAACAGAACCCCAGAAGATTTCCTGCAAAAATCCAAATTTCCACTTAAAAAAAAAAAAAAAGCCACATTTTGCACCATTTGGCCTCTATTCCCACATAGCAACAATCACAGGGAACTAATCAGCTATTGCCCGCTTCCACCTCAGCATGAACTAAGATTAAACTATAAACCCAGTGGAATATGGGGTAGGGGACTGGTTATGGGGAGAGAGAAGGAAGAAAAAATCAATCAGAAGAGCTATGTGGTAACTGTATCTTTGATTAAGCAACAAGGAAAAGAGATTAACTTAATGAAATGTGGTACAAAACTCTTATCAGGGCAGGTGTGAGAATATCTTCCCTGTTTAACTAACACTTCATATGCATGCGCATGCTTAGTCGCTCAGTCGTGTTGCACTCGGACTCTTGCGACCCCATAGACTGTAGCCTGCCAGGCTCCTCTGTCCATGGGATTCTCCAGGAGAGAATACCGGCATGGGTTGCCATTTCCTTCTCCAGGGGATCTTCCCAACCCCGGGATCGAACCCAAGTGTCCTGCATTGCAGTCAGACTTTAAACACCAAGCTACAAGGGAAGTCCAAAATAACACTGCATCCAGGCACTTATCTAAAAGCTTTACAAATGTCATTATTCAGTACCTACAACTGTTTCCTCTCAACAAGGAAGAGGAAGCAAAGAGCGAGAGTAACTTGCCAAGGTCACACAGGTGGTATGTGGCAGCATTTAAACCAGACAATGAATGTGGCCTCTCACTGTGGTCCTCACTCCAACATATAACAAAAGGGGGCTGAAATGGGTTTTAAGTTTTGTTTTTTTATCATTACTTTACTTATTTTTGGCTGTGCTGCATGGCATGTGGGTCTTAGTTCCCTGACCAGGGATCAAACCCACAGCCCCTGCATTAGAAGTGCAAAGTCTTAACCACTGGGACTACCAGGGAAGTCCCAGAGCTGAAGTGTTAAAAAGGTAAACCAGAACCACTCTCTGGTTAGCAAGGCTTGAAAACACATGCTTCAAAGCAAGTTCCCAGGGCCTTCTGTACAGAACTTAATCTGTGTGGGTAGATGGAGTGCGAAGGAAAAAGAGACTGTGCATTCACATAAACTCAACGAACATTGGACTTACAGAGGTTAAGCAAGTTTAACTCAGATTTCTCAGAGCTAAAGCTTTTAAAAGGGAGATAATGAAATCTGAGTATGTTCAGAATTTACAGAAGCTTCCTTTTCATTGGTTTTTGTTTTGTTTTGTTTTGAGGACCATCACTACAGGACTCTGATGGCTCAGCAGTTAAGAATCCGCCTGCAACGCAGGAGACCCGGGTTCAATCCCTGGATTGGGAAGATCCCCTGGAGGAGGGCATAGCAACCCACTCCAGTATTCTTGCCTGGAGAATCCCATGGACAGAGGAGCCTGGCAGGCTACAGTCCATGGGGTCACACAGAGTCAGACATGACTGAGTGAATAGGCGGCAGCAGCAGCAGCTATAGGACCAGCGTTTGGGACATTGCCATCTTACCACTGTCCTCTTATCTCTACTCCCGGTTTGTTTGTTTTTTTAATATGACTGTTACGTTTTAATTTATTTTTGGCTGCCCTGGGTCTTGTGTTGCTTTGTACGGGCTTTCTCTACCTGTGACAAGTGGGGCTACTCTCTGGTTGAGATGCGCAGGCTTCTCATTGCCACGGCTTCTCTTTTGAGGAGCACGGGCTCTAGAGCACAGGCTCAGCATCTGTGACTTCGTTACTCTGCAACATGAGGAATCTTTCCTGATCAGGGATTGAACTCGTGTGCCCTGCATTGGCAGGCGGATTCCTATCCACTGTACCACCAGGGAAGTCCCACCTCCCACTTCTCAGTTCCATTTTCCCGAGGCACGGAACCAAGGATATTGTGCTAGGTACTTATCTCACCTCCTCTATGGGGCAGAGAGCTCTGCAAGGTCATGAGACCTGCTCAAGAAATCAAAAAACACTTATTAGCTGGACCATCATGGTACTACTCTATGTCCGTGTATTCTTGAAACTACATAAAGTTTTTTTAAAAAATGAATAAAAAGCAAAAACAAAACACCTTGAGGGCTTCCCAGGCGGCTCAGGGGTAAAGAATCCACCTGTCATTGCAGGAGACATGGGTTCCATTCCTGATCCGAGAAGATCCCACATGCCGAGGAGCAACCAAGTCACACTATTAAGCCTATGTTCTAGAGCCCAGGAAACACCACTACTGAGCTCACATGCTGCAACTACTGAAGCCCTTGCACCCTCAAGCCTGTGCTCCGCAACAAGAGAAGCCACCGCAACGAGAAGCCCACACACCGCCACTAGAGAAAAAGCCCATTCAGTAATGAAGACCCAGCACAGCCAAAAATAATTATTCTTAACCCCTTCCCCGCAAAAAAGCAAAATACTTCAAGGACCTGCCCTACTCGGGGTGAGGATGAGCAGCTGTCCAGAAACAAATGAGCAGGGTCCTGCTCCTCTTGGAGGGGTCCTTGGCAGGCTGGGGGCTGCTGCAAAGCAGAGCTGGTTAAGAGAAAGCCTGGAGGGGTGGGAGGAACTATTTTCAGCTGTTGTAGTGGAACGGAGAGCAGCCATGAAGAAACAGACTAAGGAACGGCTTCATGGAACAGGTGTGTTGAAGACTGGAAACCAGTATTTGCTAAGACTTGTATGTGCCACACCTGTACAATTACCTTCCTATCTAAGCCACACAGCAATCCTGAATCACCTCCCTACCCCCTCTTTTTTATGGCTGCATCAGGCAGCATGTGGGATCTTAGTTCCCCGACCAGGTATCAAACCTATCGCCCCCTGCGGTGGAAGTATGGAGTCTTAGCCATTGGGCCGGCAGGGAAGTCCCTCAGAATCATCATCATCTCCTTTCTACAGCTCAGGAAAATGAGGTACAAAGAGGCAAAACGACTCGCCCCAGTCATACAGATCCATCAGGAGCTAACTCTAAGGCCTGTGGAAGTGGAGCTCAGCCCTGGAGGATGGCCAGGATCCATGACCCGCTCCCTCCCCTTTCACTTATTTGGAAAAAAGATACACACACGTACAATTCACAGTTAAACAAACTAGATCCTATGGTAAGCATTTGCCACATCTTGCACGTTCTTAGCACTGGAGAAGGAAATGGCAACCCACTCCAGTGTTCTTGCCTGGAGAATCCCAGGGACGGGGGAGCCTGGTGGGCTGCCGTCTATGGGGTCGCAGAGTTGGACACGACTGAAGTGACTTAGCAGCAGCAGCATGTTCTTAGATCCCACGTGACTTGACCCCTTTCTACATCGACATCTCAAGATCCACCTTGTTCTTCTCCTGCTCGGTTTTCTATGACCTGGTCGTGCCGTGAGGACACAACATGGTCCCCTCCCAACCAGTGTTTAGGCTGTTTCCATGTCTTGCCATCACCACATGGCAGCAAGTATCCTCCAGGTACACATACTTCTAAACATTTCTGCACACACATCCACCAAGTAAATTAGCAGAAATGGAGCTGCTAGTTCACAGGAGAGGTACATTTTACAACCAGACAGATAGTGCTATTTGGAGGTAACAGGAATCTGAAGGAGAAAGGCAGTCAACCTAAGGGAAAGGATAGTGTGACAGGCTTACTGGAAGGAAGAACCGAGGGTGGCCACACCTCACAGCATGTGGGATCTTAGTTCCCCATCTAAGGATGGAACCTGTGTCTCCTGCAGTGGTAGCGTAGATTCTGAACCACTGGACCACCAGGGAAGTCCAAGGACTGAGGGTTTAAGTGTAGGAATTATCGCTGCTGCAGGAAACCTTAATGGCTAATTTTTATTTTATATACACACAGCAGAGGTCAAGGTCTGACACTCAGCTACTGACGAACTTTCCTTGGTTTCATCATTAGCCGGTGGGCCTTCTTTAAGACAGAGGATTCTCTAAGCTGGACTCCAGGGGCTGAGGTCTGGCCAGTCCCACCCAACAGGAGTGGAACAGCTCAGAGCGTTTCTATCTAACATGCACTACAGGCTGGACTTCTGCTCCCAGGCACTTTCATATGTATCAGGTCATGCTAACACATCCAGAGGTTTTCCTCTACAATTCCTCCCCACACAGGACTTCCCACCAGCCCCTCACCAGCTCTGAGCCTAGGTTATGTCCTCTCCCTCCCCGGCCCCCATCCCACTCAGTGAAATTCCTCATCCCTTAAGGAGCAGTTCATCTTCTCTAGATGCCATCTCAACCAATCCAGGCAGGACGTTACTCGTACTCTGAAAAGGGACTTGAAGCCTTGCTCTGGCCTCAATCTGGGGATGAATTTGTCTCTTGCAACTGGACTTTAGCTTCCAGACAGAAGGGGCCTAGCTGGCACTTGTGGTAACCAAGCGGGTAGCGAATGCTTATTGATGGAACTTGCCGCTTCCTAAGATGCCCGCATGGTTTCCCAGAGATGCCCTCCTTTGGGCCCCCCGCCCAGCAGGGACCAGTCCCGGCCATACCTCGGAGGAGAACATGGTGGCACAGGTCCCGATGCACCAGCAGACCACAGGCTTGGTGATGCGGCCCTCCTTGATGCCCCGGCAGATCTTATACTCCTCCGTGCCCCCTATCTGCCAGGCAACAAGAAAAAGCCCCCGAGTCAGTGGAACCCATTGTGAGTTGCTCCAAGAGCAGCAATGCAGCAGGAAAATCTGTCCTGAGTCAGACAGGAGCCTGGGTCATCAGGTGTCTGGAGTTCCAACTTGAAGATGAAGGAAAAGGGGCTTTGGTCAAAAAACAGCCTGGAAGATGGAGATGAGAGATGCAACAAAGTATTTTCAAAGGATGATGGGTATCCTCGGAGAGTTCCTAGAACTCCCCCTTCCTGATCTAAGGGTATGAGATAATTTAGGACCAGATCTGATCAGGGGCACACGTCAAAGAGGTTCTTTGACTCCAGCTATCTACTCTACCCACCAGGGACAGACTGGGGCCAGCCAGGGCCTGTCACTTTCAGTTTTATACATAAACAAAATGCATGACTTTCTTAAAAACCAAAACACCATGACTTTTAGAAAAAGAAAAAAAATTTTAACAAAACAAAACAAACTTACCTCTCCGAGAACCACAATCATTTTGACTCCTGGAGTGTCCTGATAACGTAAGACATGATCCATAAACGTTGAGCCGGGGTACCTGGTGAGAGCAGGAGATGCAGTGAGGTGAGGTGCGAGAACAGGTGTGGGAAACACACGTGTACTAAGAACACTGGAGTTTTTTGTGGGTGTGGATGCTCAGTGAGGGTCCGGAGATGCCTCAAGAATAATGGGGAAGGGGAGGTGGTAAATGGAACACAAGGGAAGGGAAGGAAGAGGAACTAATAAGCGCAGGGAAGTTCATACGGCAGGAAGAGACACCTGGAGGGTGCACGTGGCTGGTGATTTAAAAATATGTCCACAGGGACGTCCCTGGCGGCCTAGTAGTTAAGACTCTCTGCTTCCACTTCAGGGAACACAGACTTGATCCCCGGTTGAGGAGCTAAGATTCCACATGCTTCTCAGCATGACCAAAATAAATAAATAAATAAATAAACAGAATATGTCCATAAGTTCCGTTAAAAAGGTGGAAACTCATGCCTCTTTTCCTGAATTTGGGTCGTTCAACACTCTCCCCTGACTAGCTCATTTTGGGGGAAGGCAGCCAAGAGCAGTGGCTGGGGGAAGGACTCTCAGACATCAGGGCAGAGGCCCACCTGCCAGCCACCTGCAGCCTGCCCACATCTGACCACCTCAACAGAGACCTCCCCTGCACCTGCCAGAACCTCCCAAGCAAGCTCTGGATCGTAAATCACAGGAACCATGAGGATACACGTTTATCACTGCAGTCACTTTGTTTTGGGGTGATTTTTAAGAAACACAGCAATAGATGATGAATGCCGCGTGCCAAGCTGCATCCCAGGCTATTGCTAGAAGGTCTATGTACAGGCGGAAATATTTTTAATTTTCTACTGTCACATGAGTTTGCAGAAGGACTTAAGGCCAAGTAGGCTTCAGATCTCCAAGGTCCTCATGATATACTCAGGAGCATTTAAATCCCAAGAGGACAGTATAACTGGCAGCACCGCCCAGACTCGTCAACTTGGAGCCTTCTGTCAGGGAGCACTAGGGGACTAGGGGTCCTAGGACCATCTCCCCAGAGACTTCAGCAAAAGTCTCTTCTCACTCAGGTGTTCCATTCGGAATGATCTGGGAGGGCCAGCAGGGTTGACAAGGTGGCTCAGTCTTAACAGCTTTTGGTTTCTAGGCTGAACAACAGCAGCAGTAATGACAGGACAGTAAACAGTAACAGCAAACATTTATCATGGCAGCAAGTACCAGGCATTGCTCTAAGAGATTACTCAACTGATGATCTACTATTGTTCCTACTAACAAAAAATAATAACAACATGATTTGCAACATAGTAAGAAATATATATATACACGTCTCTGCTCCCAGTTCCTGGCACAGAGCTCTGAAAACCCTCGCTATCTGAGTGACAGGGGTACTAACAGCATCTTTTGTTCTAATATTTGGTCTTTGGCACTGGTTCTGACCCAGCACGCATAAAACCCTTGTCATTTCCTGAGTCACGGGGGTGGAAAGCAGTGTGTTTTGTTTTCATGTGGCAACTCTTAGCAGGCTGGTACAATGTGTTCAACGGAGAAGGCACAGAAGCTCCATGCACTCTCCACGCCATGACCTATCGCCCTCTTCCACCTCGTTGCTCCTTAGTTACATACTTTTGTAATAACCTGGGAAGCCTGTGAGTAAATTTTTCCTGAGCTCTGCAAGCCCTTCTAGCAAATTATTAAACCTGAGGAGGGAGTCATAGGACCACCCTTCCCCCTCCCCACCCCCCAGTGATTTATAGCCAGTGCTCAGAAGTACCAGAGGCTGGGGTTTGCAGAGTCCTAGAGGACCAAGCCCCGAACCTGTGGGACCTGATGCTATGATGCTATTTCCAGATAGACAATGTCAGAATTTAATTGAACTGTAGGACCCTGAGTGGGGGTATCTGCAGAGAATCAGAACACTGCTCAGCGCTAGAAAATTACTCTCATATTTGTGACCAGAAGTGTTAAGTGCAGTAATGAATAAAAGAATAGTTTTCTCTTTCCCTCTTTTTTTAAGTTGGCTGCCCTGCATAGCTTGTGGGATTTTAGTTCCCAGACCAGGGACTGAACTGGGCCCTTGGCAGTGGGAGCTTGGAATCCTAACCACTGGACCACCAGGGAAGTGCCCTCCTTTTCACTCTTACTAACTACAGTTAACACCAAGTATTTACTAAGCACCAGGCCCTGTATTAGTCTCATTTAATCCTCCAAACCCAGGAGAAGGAAATGACAACCCACTTCAGTATTCTTGCCTGGAGAATCCCCGTGGACAGAGGAGACTGGCGGGCTACAGTCCATGGGGTCACAAGAGTCGGACACGACTTAGAGTCTACACCACCACCACCACCAATCCTCCAAAGACCTCCAGCGGGGGAGATTACTCTACTCATTTGCTCTGTAAGGTTGATGGAGGTCTAGGGAGGGTTGGCAACCTCCCCAGGATTGTAGCAGCCACGCCCTCCCCAAACCCTGCTACCCCAAACACAGAAACTAGGATTTGAACCCCTTGGGCCCAATTTCAGAATAGGCCCTGCTAAGCACTGCCCTCTGCTGCCTTCCTCTGGCCACAAATCAAACAGAATTACCCCCAAAGCCCAAACGCCTTTTGAAACACCTTTTTAGGGAGTTTGGGATGGTCATGTACACACGTCTATATCGAAAATGGATAACCAACAAGTACCTACTGTATAGCACATGAGCTCTGCTCAATGTTATATGGCAGCCTGGGTGGGAGGGGAGTTTGGGGGAGAATGGATACATGAATATGTATGGCTGAGTTCCTTCAATGTTCACCTGAAACTATCACAATATTGTTAACTGGCTATGAAGGTGGAAGTGTTAGTTGCTGAGTCATGTCCAACTCTTTGTGACCCCATGGACTGTAGCCTGCCAGGTTCCTCTGTCTATGGAATTCTCCAGGTGAGAATACTGGAGTGGATATCCATTCTCTTTTCCAGGGGAGCTTCCCAAACCAGAGATCAAACCTGGGTCTCTGGCACTGCAGGCAGATTCTTTACCATTTGAGCCACCATTGGCTATATCCCAATACAAAATAAAAAGTTAAAAAAGATCACCTGTCCCCACCAATGGCCACACCCTCGTAGACGCCATCCGTGGTTCGAGAGACGATATTGTTGAGCTCGTTGGACATGCCGCCCGAACGTGAGACGTAGGCCACGCTGCCTGGGCGGTACAGCTTGGAGGCCAGGATGTTGTCCAGCATCCCGCCAGTGTTCCCGATCTTAAAGCACCCGGGCTTGATGCCACCAACCTGCCGGGGTGGAAACTTCGGTCACGGAAGAGGGCAGGCTGAGTGACCACAGAGCTCTGCCGAGTCACAGAGCCCAGGATCGCCCACCCAGCCCACCCTGGCCAGCACCTGCATATGTGGTTTCCTGCTGAGGAAGATTCTTCTCCCCCTCAAGAGACATTACCCAGAAAAAAGGAGCCAGGTGTATACAACGTGGCTTATAACTGCATATTCAGATGGGCACACTCAGGGTTAGGTAGCCTCTTTTGCTCCCAAAGGACAACATCATCCAATAAAGGTGTCTGATGCAAGCGAGTACTCTGCTCAAGATCACCCTCCACCTCTGAGACAAAAGGTCCCTGGCTTAGCTCAAAAATCTTAGCTTCAACCAAATTTTCAGTGTAACAACTAAGTAAAAACAAACAACAACAAAAAACATTCACAGGGCCATTTCTGTTACAAGAAGCTATGTGTCAAGAATAAGGCCCTTAGGTAGATTTCTCTTTGGTTCACAGTTGCAGGAATGAATAATCAGAGACCATGCTATGGTTGCATGAGGATGGACAAACACTTAAAACAAAAAAAGCTTGTTAGTCCCTTGAAACTATAAAGGGGATCTGGTCTGGGGAGACAGCCTTTTAAAAAATTAACTGGAAATGGACAGGGAATTCCCTGGTGGTCCAGTGGTTAGGACACAGTGCTTCCACTGCTGGGGCCTGGTTATGATCGCTTTTTGGGGAAGTAGGCTCCCGCAAGCTGCAGGGAGCAGTCAAAACAAACAAGAAAACAAACAAACAAAAACTGGAATGGACAGACTGACTTTCAGCAGATACTCTCTCAATCTTTTCAAACTAGATGGGAGACAGAGGAGTCAACGACGAGCTTTCTGAGAGCCTGGAAGCAGAAGGGACCCTCACAGTGGCAGGTCCAATGATGGTCACTCCCTTCTGCTCCGCCTTCTTGATCAGCTTCCTCGTGAGGGCCTCAGGGATGCCTTCGGCTATGATGGCGATGGTCCGGATCTAGAGTACGAGGGACAGTTATTGTTCCACCACGTGAGACGACGAGGCAGCAACCTTTCATGAACCCACCTCCCAGACCCCTCCCAGGAATAAACATGACAATATGCACCTCCTTCTTCCCGCCAGCATCTGGTCATCCAACCCTCCCCCAAAAGAGAGGCACCTGAAACTGCTCTCCATTGGTTACCATCACAGTGAGTCCGTAACCAAGCAGAAGCAAATGTTCCAGAAAACTTGCTGTAGTCAAAGCTGTTATATTCTCGCCCATCCAAAAACTGACATGACTCAGCCCCACCTGTCCAGGTGCCTGATTATAAATCAGCTATAGGAATAAGCTGTATGACAGAAACAGGCTGTTTCCACACTTGGACCAGAGAGTAGGCTAAGGGAAAAGCCAGAGCAGGTGGGATTGAGTGAGAAAGATCCCACACAAATCTTTTCTATAAAGGGTAAGACAGTGTTTGAGGGTTTCTTGGTCATATGGTATCTGGGGATAACTAGTACATTTTGCCTTCAAAGCATAAAAGCTGCCATGGACAATGTGTAAATGAATGAGCTTGTCTGTATTCCAATAAAACTTCATTTACAACAACAGGCAGGGGGCTGGGTTTGGCCCTTGGGCTGTAGTTCACCAACCTGTACTCCACATTAGAAAAGCTGCTCATTTTTAACAAGTATGTTTGGTTTTTGTTTTTTTTTTCGCTTTATCTAGATATCAAAACAAGTTTATGTTCGCTAATCATAAATAAGTCAGTTCTGTATTAGACAATAATTTTCAACATAAAAATGACTATCTTAATCTGTAAGAGCTCTTACAAATCAGTAACATAAAAAGATAAACACCTCAATAGAAAAAATAGAAAGGAGGCCACATCACAGAATGCAAATGGCCAACACATATTTTCAAAAGCTCATTTTAGTTAATAATCAAAGATATGCAAATTAAATAGAATGCCTATCATTCTGTCAAGTATATATATTCTTTAAATCCAAGCATTCAGTGTTGGCCAGGGAGGCCTGGCATGTAGTCCATGGGGTCACAAAGAGTTGGACACTTAGCAACTGAACAACATCAACAGTGTTGGCAAGCAGGATGGATCAAAGGCTTTCAAAGCTTCACATTCTGGTGCAGCAGTGCGACTTTTAGATATTCACGTGGGAAGCAATGAAGGATATATGCTCATCACGAGACTTGAAAAAGCAAAAATGCTGCTGCTGGTAAATACTGATGTGGAAAGCGTCACTGACAGAGATGGATTATAAAATAGATATGTTATTCCATTTGTTCAAATCCAGAAAAAGGTACAGATAAGGATGTACACCAAGTCAGCAACCATGTTTCTGGAGATTTTTTTCCTCTTCTTACTTATCAGCATTTTTTCCGACAACAAATGTGTAACAGTCTTACAATAAAAATAATGCTCGTGATCCTGTTTTCAAAACCAGTCTCAGCACGGACAGCACCTGGTGGGTATGGATGATCCGGGACTCTGCCAGCCAGGTGAGCAGCCACCTACCCTCAGTGACCACCCCACCTCCTGAAGATCAAGTCTCCGACCACTTTCACCCAAATCGCTGGCCAGTCCTGGGTCCCAAGGCCTCTGTCCCAGGTGGACACCATTCAGGACTCCCCCCGCCTCCCGCCCCCAGGGCGCAGGGAGCTACCTGAGCGTAATTCATGGTCTCCATGGTGCTGTCGTAGGCTGAGCGCAGGGAGGCGAAGTTGATCAGCACGTCCACCTCCGGGTGCTTCTTCATGGCATCAGCCATGTTCTTGAAGACGGGGATCAGGATCTCCTTATGACCCCAGTAAAACTTCTGTTTGTGGTCCCCGCTGTGAGAAAGGCAGAGGAGGGCTGAAGGCACGGTCAACCTGCCGGGGCTCAGGAGGGGCTTCACCCAGAAGGTAAAAAGGCAGGGTCACCAATTTCAAAGAGTTTAGTTCATGGCAAAGAGATCCCCCAGAAACATCGACCGCCCCCATGTGAGATGGGCAGATGCCTCCCCAGCAAGGGGGCACAAGCCAAGGCCCCCAGCGGTGTTGCTGTCAGAGGAGGTGCGATGAGGACCCCCCACTCGGTGGTGGCATCCAGCCTCCCTGCCCTGAGTGACTCACGTGAAAGGGTAGACCATGGCGGCCACCGAGGGCCCGTCGCGGGAGCAGACGTAGTCAAAGTCCAGCATGCCCTGCACAGCCCGGGTCTGCATGCCCCACACGATGGCCTTGGTGTGGCGGCTGAAGAGGGTGGCGCTCTTTCCTGCTGGGCAGAGACACAGCGAGTGCACCCAGTACACGCACCCCCAGGGGCTACCTGCCAGACCCCTCCTCGCCCCAGGTCCAGGGAGAGGGACTCATCGAAACTGCAGAGGAAGGCAAGAGGACGGAACTCGGGCAACCTGGGGGGCGACGCGCCTGGATCTGTTCTGCAAAGGGGTAGCAGAGTGAGAAAGGAGCAGAGAAGTCCTGCCTGGCTGGCAAAGAGCTCAACAGTGAATAGACAGCAGAATTCCTACAGGAAAGGCGTGTATATGCAAATAAGGGCTTGAGCAAATTTTTTTTTTGGCTGCGCTAGGTCTTCGTTGCTGAATGCAGGCTTTCTCTAGTTGCGGGAGCTACTCTCGGTTGTGGCACATGGGCTTCTCATGGCGATGGTTTCCCTTGTCGTGGCGCACAGGCTCTAGGGCACAAGCTCAGCAGTTGCCATGCATGGGTTTAGCTGCCTCGTGGCATGTAGAATCTTGGTTCTTGGCCCAGGAATCCCCTGCACTGGCAGGCGGACTCTTAACCACTGGACCATCAGGGAAGTTCTGATCAATTATTTTTTAAAGTCATCTGAAAAAAAAAAAGTTAAGTTCTCCCAATCAGAGTGACTGAAAGACATGTTTTTTTCTAACTTTGGTGTGGGGGCAGGGGAAGTGGGGGGGGCAGGGGAAGTGGGGGGGGCAGGGGAAGTGGGGGGGGCAGGGGAAGTGGGGGTGGCAGGAGGCGCGGCCATGCTGCTCAGCATGAAGGATCTTAGTTCCTCGTCCAGGTATTGAACCTGTGCTCCCTGCAGTGGAAGCTTGGAGTCTTAACCACAGAACCACCAGAGAAGTCCCCTGGACTTTTTATTTTTTAATTGAAGTACAGTTGATTTACAATGTTGTATTAATTTCTGCTGTATAGCAAAGTGACACAAATACACACACACATATATATCTCACAGGATACTGAATATAGTTCCCTGTGCTATACAGTAGGACCTTGTTGTTCACTATAAGACTTCAAACAGATCCCCAACAATCCTTACCACCTGTGAACTTGGACATAAGCCAGCTCATGTCAGGATTTGAACCTCTAGATTCTAGGTCAGTGTAGGTGCAACAAAGAGGTCTGTTGTAGGCTTATCTCATCCAGCATCCACCTGACCCTCCCACAGCCTCCTCCCAGGTAGCTTCTTCCTACTCCTAGAGGGGTCACCAGAGGGCAGGAAAGGGCAGAGGGGATCGGAAGCTGGCAGTCACCTAGAGCAGGTGGGTCACCTGACCCTCCCGCTCTCAGCTGGAGGAAAGTAGCCCTCAGGGGAGGTTCTCAGCTCTCCCCCAAGAAACATAATGCAGAAAGCTCAGGGGCATTTAGTATTAATTAGCCTGCTGTACTATCACTGGCTTGGCTAACCAAGTTCAAGGTCTGATTAAATTAAGAGGGAGCTTCCCTAGTGGTTCAGTAGTTAAGAATCCGTCTCGCAATGCAGGGGACACAGGTTCGGTCCCTGGTCAGGGAACTAAGATCCCACATGCAGAGGAGCAATGAGCCCAAACGCCACACCAGAGCCCATGCGCCACAACAAAAGATACCGCCTGTCATAAGGAAGATCCCAGGTGCCACAACTGGGACCTGATACAGCTAAATAAATTTTTTTTTTAATGAAATTAAGAGATCACTTTCCCCAGGCATGGATGATTTACATCCCCATGCAGGCTCGCCTCTTCCATCACAGCCATAAGCTTCTCATGACAGAAGGCTCCCGATGGTGCCAACACCCAGGATTTACTGTGCCCTGGATCCATCTGGGTTCAGTGAGACATGAGATCACAGAACAAGTAAGGCCACCTCGTCTAGTTCCCTCACTTTCCAATTCCTGCAAACCAAAGCCCAGAGATGCCAAATGACAGAAACTGTAGGTCATCTAGCATCAAAGTCAGGATTACACAAATACTAACGTGAGATGCAGCTCAACTGTGCAAGTGAGGAGGGACATAAGCCAGCATTGCCCCACCCAGCTCCCCATTCCCAGGGACCCCAGGACAAGGTCTGGAATCTGTACCAACCCACACGCACTACTAGCTTGAAAAGGGCAGAACTGGAGCACTCAGCACACAGAGAAGACAAGCTGAAGGTGGCGATCCTCAGCCTGCTAGAAGCACAGAGGCCCCAGAGAGAACCTGTGCTTTGGGGCTAAGCCCCCACAAGGCTCCTCCACTGGCTCCCCTGTCCGGGCCCAATCTGCCCCCACTTCCTGCCCTCCTTTCCCACATAGCTCAGGACTGACAGTAAGACCAAACCCATTTCTCCCTCCACCACCACCCCCCATCCCGGCCAAGAGCTCTCTCACTGAGAGTCTATTCAGGGCTCAGCCTCAGGTCTGGTTTTCTAGGTAAACAAAGAATGTTGCCAGAAGCTGGGAGGAAGGGCTACTTGACCCTGTCTCGTTACCCCTTTCCTCTTCTTAGCAAGGGGTCACAGGTCATCCTTAAGAGACTACCATTCCCCGGATTTTCCACAGATGTGAATATCAAAAAGTTAAACGGAAGACCTGACACTTTGCACTGATGCATCTATCCACCTCAGTGAACCTAGTCACATGTGCACACGAGTGTGAGCACGCACAGATCATGTCCCTGCTAAACAGTGACCTCACACACACACAAAGCCCAGTCCACATGGACTGTGCACCTTCCGGGTCTCTCTCTCTCCTTCTCCATCCTGTGTTCCACTCAAACCCCAGAGAAATCTGAATTTGTCCCAGGTGCTGGGAGCTCTGGGATGCAGTTGGCGGTTGTGAGACTGAGATGGGAAAAGAAAATGAAGCCGTCATAGGATGCAGAGAATCAGGTGGTCAACGGCTCCCCTCCTGGCCCGCTGGCTCCGCCACGCCCCCTTCAGTTTCCATGGCTTCCTCCTGGGCTCCACTCCGCTCTCTGAGGCAGTGGGCCTGGCTCCTGCCCTCCTGTACTGTCCACTCCCTCCCACGTATGAGCTGGCAACAATCCCCACAGCAAGGAGAGCAGGGGCGTGAAATAAAACAGGGGTGGGAAGGGAGGGGGAGCGAAGACCAGGACTTGGGGGAGGCTACACTGAGGCAGGGACAGAAAAGATACCAGACAACGCTGCAACCCACCAGGGACAGGGAGACAGAAGCACACAGTAAAGACTGTAACCCACTAAAAAGCCACACGCGGAGCTGGGGGCATCCTACCTTGCAGGGGTCTTGGACTTGGGACTGAATCTGTCAAAGAAAATGACCAAGGCGACTGAGTGACATGTTGATGGCTGGAGGCTTTGGAGGGAGAGGGTGGGAACAGGGAGGGGTTGGTGGACGAGCCTCACTGGGCTGCCAACCTCACCATCTCTCGTCTGTTCACGACAGACAGGGGCCCGGCCAACAGAAGAGTGAGCCCCGACCAGCAGAGTGGAGGCAAGAAGGGGCAGAGGGCCAGAGGGCGCAGAGAGAGGAACGAAAGCACCGAGGCTCAGAGGGTGCGTTGGACACCAAAGGCCCAGGCCTGCCCTCCTAATCCTGTTTTGTCCCCGGGAAGCAGGGGACATCAATGAGATGATGAGGCTGAGAGGATGGACCTGACCATGTGCTGGGGACAAAGCAGATGTTTTAAGGACTTCCAATTCTCAGAGCCTGGAGCCAGTGCCACTATTTCACAAAATGCCTCAAGCACAATCTGTCCGTCCCAGGAAGAGACCCAGTGGTAACTGACATGGGCTACCTAGTCCTGGTGGCAAGGGCTGGCTGGCAGGGATCAGGGCAAGGGCTGGCTGGCAGGGATCAGGTCTCTGATGAATCAGAGGAGGGAGAGATGAGCGCACACATCAGACGGGAGGGGCAGACAACGTGTGCCCTTGAGGTGCGCTCCCAGGAAGGTGAGACCCAGGATGGTGGGGGCGGGCACAAGAGTCTTCTGCCAGGAAGCTTTGGGCTCCTGCCATCTGCTCAGGGGGAGGGCCTAAGGGACCTTCCCCCTGACGTGGTACTCCTGTAACTGTCTCCTTCGCAGCCCACCAGCCCAGATCACACACCCCATGGGAGGGGGCAGAGAAGACAACTGAGGAGTGGGCTGACCCTGCTCGCAGAGAAGGCTCCGGCCACCACATCTTCGTGTCCCATTCCCAACCCACGTGCCACGCCCAAAGCAAAGCCCAAACTGCTTCCATCCACCTCTACCAGCCCAGCGGGGTCTCAGAAAGGAACAGAGGGTTCTAAAACCACGCTGGGAGTTACCTTGGGGCATGGCAGGTTTGGCCTTCTTGGCGGGTGCCACCTCATCAGTCCTGGACTCAGAAAAAGATGCCGTCCTGCTGGGGGCCGGAGTCTGGGGGGATAAGGGGGAGAGAGTAAGGGTCATGGAGAATAGCTGGGAAAAAAGCCAGTGGTCCTTAAAGAGGACCTTAACGACACAAAGCTCTGTTCTCCACAAGATGCTTTCAAAAAGTATGATGCTAATAACCCTGAGATAGGAATCAGTAATGTTCCCAAGCTATAGACAAGCAAACTAAGGTTCTTGGTGATAACTGCCGAGGTCCCTCCCTCCACAGGATTTGAACTCGGGTCTGATTTAAAAATCCCCGATCTTTCCACACCACCACCTTGACTAGGGCAGGAAAAAACCCAGCAGAGATACAGAAACTAACCACACACAGCCTTCTCCCTGTACCTCCCCAAGGTCCCCAAAAGGTGGGGACTGGCCCCAGATGGGATTGGGTATGAGGGGCGACAAAGATGACTGCAGGCTTTGCAGCAGAGGAAGACTGGCACCTACTGAAGTGCTCCCGCTGGCGTTGAGGAGGAAGTTTGCGGTGTGGGCTGCTGTGGGCGGCTGATTGGGGATGGGCCGATGGCCCAGGGCCATGCCCACGATAGCCGTCATGTGAGTCTCGGTGCCAAAGACATGAATGGGGATCCCAGTGGTCTTCCCTGTGAGGAAGGAAAAGCATCCATCACTTGAGTCTCCTAAGAAGTGCCTGTGGCTGCAGGACTCTGCCAAGGCACCTTCTGTGCAAGCCCAATTATCCCAGGACAAGTTGGTGGTCATTTTCTTCACCACTAAACAAATCTCTGTAAAGACTACCTGCCAGCAAGAGCATGAAACGGCTTTATGGACACCCTCCAATGACCACAGCATCGTGAGAGCCTGCCCTCCTCCTCCTCCGCCCTTGTCGCCTGTGGCCATCGCCCCACAGACCCCAGGCCTGGCCTCTGTTCCTGAACACCTGGACCCCTCTCCTCTCCCCAGAGCTCTGCCCTGCTCCTTTCTCCGCATGGAGCTGTCCCCTGGCTGTCACTCGGCTCAGCTCAAGTGTCACCTTCTGAGAGAGGCCCTCCCTGATCTGACAGCCGCTCCCCTCCACGCCGCCCTGCCTGGAGATCCCCGGCAGACAGTGTCTTGTTCCAGCCACTGTTTACTTGTCTTAATGTCCCCGGAGTTTAAGGCCCCAGAGGTGACTGGGTGACATTCACTGAGCTGTGAGCCCACAGCAGGTCTTCAGTTTTAGGTGAGAACTAGGACTTGATACCACTTCAAGTGATGCAGGTGGGTGTAATGTTTGCCATGGATCCCAGATTTGGGAAAACGGGAAGGTGGAAAGGTCCGGTCTCTCAGTCAGAGGGCCCGCTCACTGAGCAGGAGTGTCTTACATCCACCTTCCCTCTGTCTTGTCACCTGCCCCCCAACCCCCTCCTTATCTCCCTCCACCCCCACCCCTCACCCCTCCCCCACCCCACCCTCCACCCCTCACCCCTACCCCCACCCCCCACCCCTCTCAGAACTGCTCTTGGCACCAGGGCTGCGCTTCCCTCAAGACCAAAGCCCGCTGGTTCAATCAGGTCAGCTCATAGAGACCTAATCTTAGTCCTCGCTGATGAGACGTGGTACCCCAGTTCTTAAAAGCCCTGAGTCTGAGGTCTCTGGAGCCTGCAGGAGGGGCCCAAAATGGAGAAGGAAGAAAGGAAACCCAAATGGACCCACGCCCTCACTTCCCTCAGCTCAGCGAGGGGGCAACTCCTTCCTGTTCTACCAGCTATTGGATCCCTACCTCCATCCAGGCCTGGACACTGACCCATCTCCCTCCCCTCGCCCCTCAGTCTGGGCCACCGCTCTGTCCTGGAGCTGCCACAGCCTCCTGGGTGGGTTCCTTGCTTCAAGCTGGCTGCCCTGGCAGCCTTATCTCCACCTGGCAGCCTAAACAGCCCTCAGCCCTAAGTCAAATGGTGTCTCGCCTCTGCTCAAGTCTTCCAGCAGCTGCCAGGGTCACGGCCAAGCACCCACAGGACCTGTACTAGCCCCGCACGGCTTCTCCCTTGGCCTCTCTGCCTCCAGCCTCCGCCCCAGACCCCTCAGTTGGCCCCACCTCAGGGCCTCGGGACCTGCCCTTTCATCTGCAGACAGCCACCACCAACTGCTCCCTCTTCTCCTCAGATTTCTGCTCAAATGCCACCTTTCTGGCCAAGCGCTCTCTGACTGCCTCATTTAAAACTGCCCTGTCCCCTCCCAGAGGCCACCCCTTCCCCAACTGGCCCTGCCTCGTGCCTCCTGAGGCTGCAGCCACTGTCCTCGATGGCACGAGGGCCTGCTGCCTGTCAGCTGGCGTCTGTGGCCGTGACCCCAGGGCTCAGCACGGGGCCAGGCGTGCTCAATGAACAGCTGGATAAACTGCTTTCCTGCCCGTTCTGAATTTAGGTTTCGGTCAGGTGCTGTGTGTCAGAGGGCACAGAAATGCAGAAGCCAGCTGTCGCTCCAGGGAGTGAGGTGGGTGGTGGGAGGAGCATGGAGACATTAGAAGACTGACTTGCTCAGGAAATCCCGAGGAGGCAAGACACTCGGGGTGGGAGGAACAGAAAACATCCCCCCATCTTACCGACTTCTCCCATGACCCGCAAGCCCTCCTGATAGTTGGGGCCACCTCTTCGGACAAAGATCGTGACCTCGTGCTCCTTCAGGGGACCCTGGTAATCTCGAATTGCTCTCACGATGCCCTGGAAGGACCAAGGGACGACACTCAAGTGATTAGAAAGAAGGCAGCAAGCAAGCAAGCACTTACAACCAAGGGAAACAAAAGTCCCAGGGCTGCTGGGAGTTTCCTGGTGGTCCAGTTGTTAGGACTCAGCGCTTTCACTGCCAGGGCCCCAGGTTCAGTCCCCGGTCAGGGAACTGAGACTCCATTAGCTGTGCTATGCAACCCAAAACAAAACAAAAAAACCCAGGGCTGCTTCTCATGGACCACAGAAAGACCCCGGCAGTTAAGAACTCTGTGAATAGACTGGACTATCCCCAAGCAACCCAAAGGCCCAGGACTGGTGACCACTGGTGATGGTGCTGAGGTGAGAACAGGGGGTACCCAGGGATGACAGCCCTCAGTGCACGGGGCACTGGGCCTCCAATGTTGCTGTTGATCAGTCACTAAGTCATGTCTGACTCTTTGTGATCCCGGGAGCTGCAGCACGCCAAGCTTCCCTGTCCTTCACTATCTCTGGGAATTTGCTCAAACTCATGTCCACTGAGTCAGTGATGCTATTACCATCTCATCCTCTACTGTCCCCTTCTCCTCCTGCCCTCAATCTTTCCCAGCATCAGGGTCTTTTCCAGTGAGTCGGCTCTTTGCATCAGGTGACCAGAGTATTGGTTCTCAGATGCCAGTGGGGCTTTGCTGCTCTCTCACCCCATCTACAGCTGTTGTTTTCTTACTATAATTTTGGGGGAAGCTCTATACCAAGATCCTATGCAAGAGCTGTCGGGGTTATCAGGACAAAAGTCTATTTCACTGTCAAAGTTCTACAAAAGCTTCTCCAAGTGACTTGGGAACAGCTGTTGCAATGGGTGTAACTTTGGAAACGTGGGCACATGCACAGGTTTGGACCAGTTTTGTCTGGGCAGATGGAAGGCGAGTTTATGGAGTCTAAGTTCCATCATTCGTGGCATTTCATGGGAAGTTCTACACACAGTGCCTGCTCCAGACATAATTGCCTCTATCACTGGTGCTGCCTTTATGACAGGCCTGCTTGGAAGTTAAAACAAAGCTGTTGAGATCCACCTGTGTCACATTTATTTGTTGAATCAGGTCCAATTAGGGACCTGTTTTAGGTAAGACTAACAAGGCCTTGTCCTCTATTCCTTGAGAGCTCAGACTTGCAAGACTAACATTTATTTAAGCATTCTTCTTTTTTTAAAATAACATATACTTCTGATTTTTTTTTTTTTTGCTTTGCCAGGCCTTAGTTGAGGCACATGGGGTCTTTGATCCTCATTATTGCATCATGGGGGGATCTAGTTCCCCGACCAGGGATCGATCCCGGGCTCCTTGCTTTGGGAGCACATAGTTGTAAGCCACTGGACTGCCAGGGAAGTCTTAATCTATGTATTATTCTCCAAGCTTATATGGAACTACCAGATGGCGGACGTTCTTCTGAACAGCTGCCCTAAGCACCTGACAGTATGGGATAGTAAGTGGCCTCCTGAGGCAGCCACCTTGAAGGGGAGGAGTCTGGAGACATGTGAGCTCTCATTCTTCTTACTGGCAGTCACACTCTTTAAACTGGTGCCCACGGCCCTGACCTATGGACAGAGACCCAGGATGACTGGCCTCTGACTGGATAAGCAGAAGGCCTGCACCCCAGGGCATCAAACACTTCCTCATGCCAACCTTTTGGGGAAGGGGCAGATGACTGGGAGATAAAACACCAGGAGGTGCAGAAAACCCAGTCCTACCATGGAACATTGGAAATGGGGTCAATCAAGCCAGTTCTTTAAGAATTGGTCCTGAAACAGGAAAGGCAGAAATTCACCTTCTCCCCATATTGTAGGTGGGAGAATTACAGCTCAGAGAGGGTCAGCCGCTTGTCCAGAGAGACACACAGCTTCAGAAAATCCATCCCAGGGTCTTCTGCATCCCTAGGTCAAGACCGCCCCATCCTGGCCTGGGTAACTCATGGGGACCTGCTTCTGTCCCAAATCTTCTTATAGAAACTTCCCTTCCCTGCTTCCCCGCAAACCACCATATTCCCCTGCAGCTCGTTACCTTGAATGTGGCAGCCACGTTGGTGAAGTTTGCGATGCTGCCTCCAATGATGAGGATCTTGCCTGGATTTGGAACAAGAGAGAAGTCAAAAAAGGGTTAGAAAGGTAGACTTGGGCATTGTATCAGAAATCCAACTGAGGTCCCCTAATTGTTAGGAGACACCAGTGCAGAGGTGGGGAGCAAGCTGGTCTCTCCTGATACAGTTTTATCAGCTTAACCCTACCTTACCTACGCCTCCGAGCAGGTGGTTAATCCAAACCTGCAGAATCTCTGCATCATCCCTAGCTGGCATCGAGAAACCCAGCATGGTTTTTGGACACCCCTGGTGGGACTCCTTGTCTGGCTCATGGGAAGGGGAAATGGTATCTGTAGTCCCAAAACACAGCACAGGTGGTAAAGGGAAGTTGGGAACCACACAGCCTGAATAATAAAGGTGTAAGCAGGCCACGAAGAACTGAATTTATAGCAGTCAGCAAAAGCATGCCGCTGCCACTACCTCTGCTGCAGCCTCCCTTGCACCTGCTCACAGGACTTCATATATCCACCCCTTCCTCACCCACCTGAAGCCCCGGAATGACAGGTGCTGTCACAGCCTGCCACAAAGTCAGGGCAACCTCGGTCCGGAAGTTAAATGATGAGCCCCAGGTTGCAAAGGACCAGGACAACCTCGTGTCTCCCAGCCCAGCCAAAGCCCTTCCCACTCCAGAACACTAGGCCGAGCCAAGGAAGAGCTCATGCGTCTCACCATCTGGGTGCTTCTCGCGGGTCATAAGGGAGAGAATCGTCTTGGCATAGTCATAGGTCTGCTGCTCACTGGGGGCGCCCGAGTACTCCCCGTAGTTCGCCAGCTCGTTGACACCCCCCAGGTCGCAGATGGTGTCACTGCCAGGGAGATAGGGAAGTCACTGCTGGCAAAAGGCAGCAGCCTGGTGCCTGGGGGGGGAGCCACACAGACACCCCTGAAGCCTTGAGACCAGGCTGCCTCTGGAAGCGAACTCTCAGCCCTCAGACCTTCAAGCCCTCACCAGTCAGACTTAAAGGTTAACTGTGCTGCGTCAGACCCTCCTAGGGGAGCACCCTGCCAGCCCTACATGACATTTCTATGAAGTATGAAAATATAACTATTGCTGTTGTTTAGGCACCAAGTTATGTCCAACTCTTTGCGACCTCATGGACTGTAGCCTGCCAGGCTCCTCTGTCCATAGGATTTTCCAGCCAAGAATACTAGAGTGGGTATCCGTTCCCTTCTCCAGGGGATTTTTCCTGACCCAGGGATCAAACCCAAGTCTCCTGCATTGCAGGCAGATTCTTTGCCGCTGAGCCACCAGGGAAGCCTGTGACTACTGATCCAGCTGCTAAAACACCTGGAAGGACACACACCGTGGTGACACACTGGGGCGTGGGCTGGGGACACGACCTGATTCATTTCCCTGATCTGTGGCACCTTCATATGGAGCACCTTATTATTAATGGTAAGAATTAAAACTAAAAATTTAATTAAAAAAAAATAAAAATAAAAATTTAATTTAGAAGCAAGGAAGACGGTTTTGGAGACATTATGGGTAGGCCTTTCTGGGATGCCCCGAGGGTTCCTGCTCTGCAACCAGAGAGGTGGATCAAGCTCTATGGTGAGGGGCTTGATTCAGGCCACACGTGGGAAGCCTGTGGGGGACCCGACCGTCAGCCCCTCAGCAGCCCCTTCGGTCACCTGTACACGACAGAGGCACCCCCTCCGGCCACCATGGTCCAGATTCTCCCCTTGGGATTCAGCAAAGTCAGCTTCAAGCTTGCCCCACTTTTGGCGTCCAGATCTGCAATGTAGGCTTCCTGGAGACCAGAGAGCAACAGGTGGGCCCTGGGGGCACCCCCTTCACCAGGCTGCAAGACCCCAGGACCCCTCCCGTTCCCCTGGAGCAGTAGGAAAAGGGCCTTCATTGTCCTCATAGGGTCAGGGAGAAGGGTTTGTGTAGGGCCTCATGGGCCTGGGTCAAAATGGGATGCTGTCTATAAGCACCAAAACCACTGCCTGGAAACAAACTTCCCAACTCCTTTCTCTCTGATTTCAAGTCCCACTAAGTCACTTGCTTCTACCCTGGCCCCACTCCCAGCATCTCCGTGCCTAACTTATGTGCCACCCTCTCCCAGCCGGCCAGGCCCCATCCGTCCCCCCAGCCCAGGCTCTTCCCCTGGCCTAGGTTCTGTCACACATGCCTGATCCTGCTGTGAGGATCTCTCCAAGGATGGGGTGGGAAGCCACAATTAAAATTCTCAGCAAGTGGCCAAGACAACTATCTTCCTGACAGGATCAGGGGGAGCCACTCGGAATTACTGAGAAACAACAAATCAAGCTATGAGCCCAGGGAGGTTGATTGAGAGAGGAGTCTAAAAGGATTTCTGGCCAGGATTCAGAGGCTTGGCTCTCTCCTACCCCCACCTCCTTTGGGGTTTTAAGAAAATTAAATGGCTCGACCTTCCTTTCCTGCCAAATATATAGCTCACAAGAGGGTGGGGGGAATGCTCATCTGAGATTAGTCACCCCGCCCGGGCCCCCCTCACTCTCAGTCTCCTCCCCACAGCAGCCTTACCTCTGGGTAAGCCTCCCGCCCAAAGGGGGGTGGGAACTCTATGTCACCCCACTTCACTTTGCAGATGTAGTCAGCAGTGGCATCCACCTTGGCAGCCAAGTCAAGGACGTAGACGCCATCTTTGGTCACAACTTTAAGAAAAGAAGAGGCGATCGGACATGGGTCCTAGCAGAGGTAACCGTCCACCTCTAAGCCCCTCCTGGCTTTCCCATACACCACTCCCATGGGGGCCCACCCAGGCCTCACGACTCTCCAGCTCAACAAGAAACCAGATTGGTTCTTATGGAGACACAGCTTTTCGCTCATTCAAGGAAAAACAAATTCTACAAGACCACCCCCACTCCCTGATCTGTAGGTACTAGGGCAGAAACCTCTGCTTTAATTGCCATGGCAATTTTTAAGCATTAGCCATTCACCCATCCACAACTCTGCTATTTAAAAACAAAATGTTTCAAGCACAATGTCTAAGGCCCCTGGGTGGGCACCCCCGGGTCCCTTAGGGTCCAGAGAGAAGTGGAAAGAGGGGGAGCTGTGGGTGCACCGGGCCCCCCACCAGCAGGATGCATTTACCACCGCCTCGCTGGAGTCCACTTCCCTTTACCCAGGGCCATTGAGCTAATTTAGTTAGCACAGAGCCATCTGGTCCATGACAGGGGCTACATCCCCCAGTTGGAATCTGAATCAGGAGTCTGACCTCAGAAGCTCTGGCCAGAGTCAGCCCACACCACCTGCCTCTTGCACAACCCGAGAGCCTTCGCCAAGGTCTTTCCCCCAGCTGTGGGGGTCAATGACTGACTAACTCCTGGAGTGGGTGGAGGGGAGGGGGGCCTCTGAGGCACCAAGAGGAAGGGAAGGTCTGACTGGTCAGGTAGACACAGGGGCAGCCCAGCTCACGGGAGAACAGCCTGATCCACTGGCAGGAAGAGCCACCGAGCAGAATCAGACATAACCAGGACTTCCCCATCACAGAAGAAACTGGAGTTGGTGAAACAGAAGGATGATCACAGCCTCCTGAGAGCCTGGGGAATCCCTCTGCCCCCACACACCTGTCTGCTCTGGCCTCTGCAAGCGGTTGTGTGGGCTCACCCCAACAGAGATAGTTACCAAGGGGGTTGATCTCGAGGTAGGTGAAGTACAGATCCTCATAGAAATTGAAGAGACCGGAGATAAAGCTAGCCAGAATTCTAGAGGGGGAGGCAGAGAGGGACATCAGTCCACGAGGCAGTGGGCTCAGCAGCCACCTCTCACTGCTATTGACAGCTCCACTCCCCAGCACCCACTCTGCTGACCCCTCCCTCTCCTCTCCAAACCCTGCTCCCCGGATGTCACTCTTCAGCCACTGAGGCGGAAAGAGGCTGTCAGGCATGGAGCAGGAGCGGGGCCCACGCCAGACAGACGGGGGCAAGGAGGTGAGGGATGCTGACGGACATTTCAGTCTGAGCCAGCCTCCCCACTGCCCCCACATCCCTCCTGGGGACCGGGAGGGACTGTGACTGCTGGCTGCTCCCCATCTTCCAGCCAAAGGCTGGGGTGGGGTAGCCGGTGCCCAGACAGGGAAGGCCACTCCGCTTGCCCCCTGTACCCAGAGCTGTCAGCCTTCCCCGTTCCTACACCACCACCACCCTGCCGTCCCTCTCACTCAACTCTTTCTTGTCTTCGGGGGCGTGGACAAGCAGGTGTTTCTTGATGTCCTCGGGATTCAGCTTCTCATCCACGCCGACGAGCAGTTTCTGGGCTTTGGCATCCACGTCGCCCACGTCCACCCCACCCTCATGGTGGAACAGGACATAGTCCCCTTCCCGGGTAGCATAGATGCAGACGTAGAACTCCTCTTCCTTACGAGGGAAGAGGGCACCATATGGGTGAGGGGCCCAGCCCCAGCAGTATCATTTCTAAAACCCCACAGACACCTCCCACCGGGTGAGACCTCAAGGACAAAGAGGCCACTGCCTTGCTGGCTGACAGTCCAGACTGGGCCAATGTGACCTGCTCTGGGGCAAGGGTCCTCCCTTCAAGTCCTTCTCACTCCAGCACTGGGAAGTCCCCTCTGTTACCAGCGCTGGTTCCTTTCTGCTGCAAACTAAGCCCTTCCCCTCATCTCTGAACTCCCCATTCTGCAGCACCCTCAGACCCTAAAAACGCAGCTTCAGAGACTTTGGTTGCTTTGACTTTTCTCCAGCAGCTTGATTTCTCCTTTCATCAATTTAGGATCAACAGGCACAATGCTCCCAGAGGGCAAAGACCCAGCTGGGAGCCACCTCACACATACCTGAGTGTGGGGGACAAAGGGCTCGATCAGGAAGTTCTTGAGGAAGCCTGTGGCCTTGCCAACCTATGGAGATTGAAGGAGATACAGATGGCATACCTTACTAGTGGGGCAAGAGGAGGGATGACCCTCTGCTCCTTCCACCTCAGCCGTCCATCAGAGGTGGGGCCCCAGCACTACTGCCACACCACCTGCCAGAAAGAGATCTTTCCAGAAACTAGGGCAATGGGGTCACAGACCCTTACACTAAAGAAGTCTTCATGAGACCCCCCTCTTCCACCCACTGCCCTTGTGCCAGCCACACTTTGACACTTCTCGCACCTTCTGTTCCGCCTCCTCTGGAGGGTGACAAATGAGCTGGAATGTGGTCCCGCCCCCCAAAAGCAGCGATCCAGAGCCTCTCCCCCTCTGCTGTCCCAAAGATCACGTGCTCGGACAAATCAAGGTTATCGATCCCAGAGCTCAGGCAGGGAGACCCAGCCTCAGGCGCAAGGAATGGCTGGGGAAGGGAGAGAGAATGGAGCTTGACAGGGAAAACCTTTCCTCACAGACTTTCCCTGCTGATGACAACAGGCCTGCAGAGCTAATCAGTTTGAGTGGGTCCCTGGCAGCAGCCGAGGCGAGACAGTCCTCACCCTCCCTCCCCGCGTGTCCTGAAGCCCCTGCCCGCCCATGCGTGCGTCATTGCTGAGTCAGGGACCAGTGATCCATCAGAGGTAATGAGCCGCTCCTGCCCAAGCCAACACTGCTGCCAGCTCAGATGTCCCCAACGTCTCCCCCCACCCCCTGACAAAGCCAGCTAAGAAGGAAGCATGAGGACCTCCCTGGGGACACTGCTCAGCGCCCCCAACCCTGCTGTCCTCTCCCCAAAGGCCTGGGGGCGTGAAGGTCAAGATCCCTCCACCCTCAAGCCCATGTATAACTTCAGGGATCCCCCTTTACCCAGGAGAGCCAGAAATGGGAAATTAACAAGAAGAGCTGATTTGAGGAAGCCCGGGTAAAAAGGAAGATGGCTCCATCACCACCTTCATCCTACTCTGGGGAGATCAAGTTAGAGAACAGCTCAACCCTGATCCACAGTCACCCCAGATGGGACAAAGCCAGGTGTGGACAGCACATCCTCCCCGGCTTAAGCCAAGCCTTGGTCCACTCCCTCCCTTCAATTCTCCAGCTCCCTTGGGGAAAAGAAAAAGAAATCCAGTTTTATTTCTGGGCATCACTTATTCTTCCACTCTCTTACCTACAGAGTTGAAATTAATCAACAAGCTGGGAGAAGGCAAGAACTGAACTGACTCTTCAGTATTGTCTCCTCCTCAGTTCTTGGCCCAAGAATGTTTCTGCCTAAACGATTCTGCATCTCCCTTCAAGTTTTGTTTTGTTTTTTAATCGTTCCCTCTTATGTATGCAGGTCATGGTGAGCTACCCTACCCTTTCTGGTAATTGAAAAGAAAGGAGCTCCCAGAGTAGGTCTCAAGAGTCCCATCTCCATGACTGTTGTTAAAGGAACAGACTATTTTGTCCTGGCTCGGGTTCCTTAGGCTTAGCTGCCCTGCAGCATTTGGGATCTTACTTCCCTGACCAGGGATCGAACCTTCATCCTCTGCATTGGAAGGCAGATTCTTAACCACTGGACCACCACAGAAGTCCCTGTATTACTTCTACGTGTACAGCACATCTCACCATTCCCCGTAAGGGGAGCTCAGAATGAGCATCCAACTGGCCCTACTACATAAGTCAGCTCTGCAGGACTCCTGCCCTCCCAAGCTTGCAATCGGACCAGTCGTGGGGGTGATCCATAGGGTTGCAGATCTGGAAGCAACCATGTTTGCTTCTATCACTACAGCACATCCACCCCAACCCTACACCCAGACTCACTGTAGCCTCCTGTCCCAGGCGTGGCTTCAGCCAGGACTTGACTCCATCCAGAGTGAGGTTGACCCCAACTAGGCCCAGCTTTCCACGCCGTTTGATCAGCTGGTCTGGCTTGACTACCAAGCTCTGGAACAAGAGAGTTGGTTGGTTTGTTTTGTGTTTTGACTGAGCCATGTGGCTTGTGGGATCTAGTTCTCCGACCAGGAATTGAACCCAGGCCCTTGGCATTGACAGCCTGGAGTCCAAACCCCTGGACCACCAGGGAATTTCCAAGAGGAGTTTGTATTTAGAGCAAAGAAGGAGAGGGGAGAGTTAAGAGGTAATAGTCTAGGGCCCCAAAGCACAGAATAGCCTGGGTGGCTTCCAATTCACCCCACTCTCAAAGTAAATTCCACCCATCTTCAAGGTCAGCTCCCAGAAGCTTCTTCACCTATCCCAGCCAACATCTTTGACAACCGGGAATCTAGAGCTGTCCTGGCTCAGGATAGAGTGTGGCACAGAGTAGGCGCTCACTGAATACTTTATGAGTAAAGCATTTCCTACCTTTCCTATATGATATCTTAGCTTCATTCAACAGCTCAGAATATGGACTGGCACCCATGTTCCAAAAAGAAAGAATAGAAAGAGAGAGCCCTGGGGTGACAAAGCACCGTGGAAGACATCTGGTCAACCCTATCCCTGTGCTTGAACCCCATCTACAAGATCTACAAGCAGCCCCTAGCCACTGCTCACACAACTCCAGTACCAGGAAGTTCACCAACTCCCTTTGTGGTTTGGGGTTTGGCCTGCCTCATAGCGGAAGGAAAATTGCATCCCTGAACACCCTCCCACTCACCCCCCTCACTGGTCCTAGTCCTCTGGGACCTGCCAGAGACGTCTAAATGGATCTACAGAGAGGATTCTATCAGCCATTCTACACAAAGTACAGCATCGCACTTCCTCATGGCCCTGACATTTTCCTGATGGAGCAGGTGCTTTTTACTGAGCATTTACCAAAGGCCAAGCAGCAGACCAGAGACTTTCCAGGCATTATTACTAGTCCTTAAATTCACAGGGTGAGTGGTATGCCCATTTGACAGATGGGGAATCTAAAACTCAAGAGAGGTGAAATGGCCTGCCCCAGGCCACATGGTTGAGAACCAGAGAGCCGCCACCCGGACTCCAGTTTGTCCAGTTCCAGTCCAGGCTCTGTACACAGTGCCCGGGGACCTCAGCATGCGGCACAGAGGGCTGAACACAAAACACGCTCAGCCCCCTGCACCCTGCACACCCAGGCAGGCCATCTGCCATCACATGTTCTGAGGGGACATCTGGGCCTGAAGAAGGGGTCTGGTGGGGGCGGGGGGAGGGGGAGGGCTCACCTGGCTGAGCAGCCACGGGTGGTCCTGCAACAGGTGGGCCCAGTCTGTGTCAGCGGTGACCCGGGCGTACTTGAAGCGGTTCTGGATGGCCGAGGTGGTGCAGATGTACTTGTAGAGGAGTTCTTTGCCTGTCTGCTCGGAAATCGCCTTGGCCGACATGGCTACAGAAGGCCCTGCGCTACCTGTTGGGGAGAGAGGGGCTGGTGGGGGGGGGGGAGATGGAGGCGCTATCTTCTCCAGCAAGACAGACCCTGACCCAGCTGCCCCCAGACCATAAAACCTGAACTCAGCGCTTCTCCAGAGGGAGAAGAGGGCTGCCCCAGAAGGAAGGATGGAAGGGAGATCTCAAACAGCACTGACCACAGAGAGTGTGGACTGGGAAATGATGGGTGAGGACAGAGTGTGGAGAAAAACAAAGGTGGCATTTACCTCCCCGGGGACTCGTGGCCTCTACTCTCTAGGCAAACTAGTTCACCCAAGAGCACATTCACGCACATTCACCCTGGGGCAAAGAAAGCTGGATGGTGAGACCATGAATAGCAGGGATGTGACCCAAACCTGAGTGCCTGTCCCGCCCGAGATGAGCACACAGACCCTGAAATGCACCCTCCAGTTCTATGACCTGTGGGGAACACAGTTAAGACTAGCCCTACTCCTCCTCCATGTCTGGTCTCCAACGCACTCAGACTCACTTATTTCACACACACACACACACACACACATCACCAGCCCAAAGGCTGGGTAAGCAAGTCTATTTAGCCTCACACAGGACCAAGGCCCCCAGGAGTGAAGAGGAAGAGTTATGTCAAAGCCCATTTCTCCCAGGACACCAGACTCCCAGCCAAATTCAGAGCTGACACAGGGCGGGGGAACTGTGACCTTCAGTGCATCCCACCCACCCCGCTGAGTCATCCAGCTACTCATTTAGAGCAAAACAGAGTCCTCTCTGGGAACCACCCATACCAGAGACTTCTAACTGAGCCAGAACTAGCGGAAGAGAGGCAAAAGCCATCCTGGGTCACATGTAGGTGAGCCCTGGGAGATGCATGGAGATTGAGAGTCCTATCTCTTAATTTTATTTCTGTCCACACCACGTGGCACGCGGGACTTTAGTTCTCCAACCAGAGATCAAACCCATGCCCTCCACAGTGGAAGCACAGATTTTTAACCACTGGACCACCAGGGAAGTTCCCACAGCCCTATTTCTTAGATAAGGAATAAAAGTTCAGAGGGGTTAAGACAACTTGCCCAAGAAGCCTAATTAATATGCAGGGGTCCCAAGGCTTGAACTCAAACCCTCTCACTCCTGGTCCCCAGGAAATCCCACAGTCGGCCCGAGAGAAAAGACCGCTTGTCCAGGAGCCAGGCCATTTCCCCCATTCACCTCACAGAAGGGTCTATGATGACAACCTCACCTTCCCTCCCTGTCACTTTGTCCGGACACACCCCTTCTCCCCTGAGGTAGTGCCTGGAGCAATTTGGGAAGAGAAAGGGTGGGGAGACAGGAAGGGAAAGGAAACTAAGTCATTTATGCCAAAAGCTTGTCCAGATCAGGAAAAGTCACTCCAGTCTCTCCAACAAAGATTCAGAATTGAGGTTGTTGAATTTACTGGGAGAGAAAAGCCAAGACTAAATAAAGGAGGGTGGAGCTGAAGGGCTGGCTGCTTTACAAACTCAGGAAGGTTGGTCTCTCTCCATTCCCAGCTGAGGGAAGGCCAGAGTTTCTGGGGCCACTCTGCACCTCCTTTCCAATTCTCCAAGCTGGGCTTCAGGTTCTAATCCTGGCTTGACTGGCTGGCTGAGCCTCCCAGCTATCCTCCAGCAAGGCACAAAGAGTACATTCAGTCTGGTGTCTGGCCCAAAGGTGGGTAGCTGGGAAGGGGCTCAAAGGAAATGTTCCCTTTTCTTGCCTTCCCCTGGGATGACTTCCGGCTCCTTCTCAATATGAGTTTCCAAAGGAGACGCCTCAACCAGTCCCACTGCCCCATACCCCTCCATCCCCCACCCACTCCAGCTCCATTTCCCAACCTTCTTTACTCAGACCAGAAAAACTGGTCCTGAAATCAGACAGGTACCCGTGCCCCTACCCACTCCCAAACAGAGTCCAACCCAGGGCAGATCAAGCAGATAAAGGAGAGGGCAGCTGCTGACCACCATTAGTGGTTACGACACATCAGTCACAAGCTGATGACAAATTCCAAGAAAAAGGAAGCCCCCCTCCACCTCCCCAACCCCAGCTAAGCCTCTCCAGCAGAGAGACACTCCCAGAACAACGACCGCCCCCCCCATACAAAGACCCAACTTTGTTTTGTTTTTTTTTTGCTCTTTGAAGTGTTTATTTTTTTATTTTTATTTTTTATTTTTTATTAGTTGGAGGCTAATTACTTTACAATATTGTAGTGGTTTTTGTCATACATTGACATGAATCAGCCATGGATATACATGTATTCCCCATCCTGATCCCCCCTCCCAAGACCCGACTTTGGAAAGAACCTGGATAAGAAAAGGGACCTTTGGCAGTTGAAAAAAAAAAAAAAATCACAATTTCCTTGAGCCTTAGTTCAGATCTCAGATCCAAGAACTCATCTCTGGTGCTCAGGAGAGGGATGGGAGAGCAGACAACAGGGGAATGGCACAGATAGAAAAGCTTTGCCAGCTCACCAAAACAGACTGGCCACCAGAGCACTTTAGCATAGATAGGGCAGGCCCTCTCAAGGCCAAGACAGAGAATTTATAGGATAGAGTAAAAAGACAGGGAAAGAATCTGGCATCTGCATATTTACCAAGATAGGGTAAGAAGGCTCACAAAGCCAGGGAGTGGACTGTGGAGATAAATCACAAGTTTAATCATTCGGAGGAGTCCCTTGAGGGTAGTGGATCTTAACCTACATGAGGTCTCAGACTCTCCAAGCACCAGAAGAAAAGCCCAGAAAAACGTACCACATACCCGATTTTGCTTATCCCTTCAAGACCATGACCTGTGACCATGATCTGACAGCCAAGAACACTGGTTCAAGTAACAAAAGGACTTAAAGTGTAAACCAGTCTGAGCTGGGAACACAACACACACACCCCCCACTGCGGAGTCTTGGGCTGCCTCCCCAGTAACTGAATAACTGAATGTGCTGTCAGACTGGTCAGAGATGGTTTCAGGGCAGAGCTAAGATCCTAGGGGTCCACTCTGGGGTCCCAGGAACTGTTACCTAGGTAAATTTGGGGAAAATCATGCCAGGGGACCTGAACACACACGTTCTCTCAATCGAAAGGAGGGCCCTTCTGAGCTGAATGGGGTCTTTTCTGCAGACAGGATAAGTGACCCAGAATTGAGTTTATCCACAGCTGCCATGGAGCGCAGAAGTAGCCCACAGGGAAGGCTGAAAGAAAGGAGTCTGTTCCCCAGGACTGTACCCCTGGGACACAGCCAGAGGAGAGGAACCACTGGGGATGCTATGTAGGGTCTCTGTGAGAAGGACAAAGAGCACTTATTTTAAGGTTAGTATCCACAGGAGTGGTTTGTTTTTTTTTTTCTTTTTGGAAAGGCCAGGCAATCCCTGGAGTAAAGAGAGGGACAGAATTCTGAGGGTCCCCTACTGCAGCAAACATAGTGGAGAATGGGGGTGGAGACACCTACCACCCAGCTGAGCTCAAAAGCTGTTCCCATTACCATCTTCCAAGCTGTTTAAGAAGCTCTTTAAATATTAAAAAAAAAAGAAAAGAAAAAGAAGCAGCAGCTCTTTAAGAGGTGAAAACACCCCTCTGGGCAGCTGGGTCTACCAGCTGTCCTTCACCCAACATTTCAGAATTTCAGAAATCTAATGAACTGAGCTGAATGAAACACAGTGCTAAGTTAAAGGGTGGAGAGAGGAGTGGGCTGGTTGACCAAACCGTGCTATGCACTGCTTCCCCCCGCAAAATCCTCTTCCCAGGCAGACTCCGGAGGACCACCTAATGGCAGAACTCCTTGGTATCCACCAAGGTTGGGGAGGGCAGCAGGCGCTGGGACTGGCCCTCTGCCAAGCCCGACAGGAGGGTGGCGGCAGCATCCTCCAGCCCCTGGAGGACCTTGTCTCGGCCAAGCTGGGCATCACCGCCAAGGGTGGGGAGAGAGACGGGCACCCCGGCCATCTGTCGCTTAGCGGCTGGGCCTGACGGCACCCCCAGAGCGAGGAGGGTCCTCCCTGCGCCGCCCATCCAAGGACAGGTCCTCGTGGCGAGGCCTGGGGCGGCCCTGCCAAGTGTGGTCCTCGGCGGCTGCGCGCCCTGCTCGCTCCCTCCACTTTGGCGCGGGGCTTAGTCGACTCTCCACAGAACTAAAAGGAAGGGCCTGAACCGACTGGTGAGGAGTAGGAGTGGGGAGACTAGTCACCGCTCTACCTCCTTTGCCCGGCATCCGATGGCGGGGGTGGGGGGACCCAGATGGGGGCAAGAGGTGGCCACAGAAAGCCCGATGAGGCTCGGAGACTAGTCCTGGGGAGGGGATGAGGGGAGCCAGTTAGGGGCGATGTAATACGGCGGAGGGAAGGCAGGCAACAACGGCGGCCAGCCTTGTGCAAACTCCGGGAACTAGAATGTGGAGGAGTTGGGGCGGGGGAGGGGAGGGCGACACGAGGCCACCGGCCGGGATCCCAGCGAAGGCTAACCTAAAACTAAGACCCCCAAAACTCCAAGCAGGTGCAGGGAGCGCTCGTGAGCCCCAAGCCGGCTTCGAGGGAGGCGGTTCCGGGTTGGGGGAGGGAAGCAGGAAGCTCCTTGACCAAGTGGGGTCCATCTCACGAAAATAGCCGTCCGCCACTCACCTCTCCGAGAAAGTCTGTGCGCGGCGTTCAGTATACAGGCCCCAAGTCACCGCCCACTGCTAGGAGCGCTCCAGCCTCCCGTAGCCGCCGGGGACCTTGCTTTTGTCCGGGCGCTGGCGGGCTTCTCCCCGCCCCCATCGGCTCACAGCGCGAGCCGCCGGGCCATTGGCCACACGCATTCCCTAGCCTGAGCGCCAGAGCTCCTCCCAATTCGCTGCCTGATATAGCCCCGCCCCCGAGCCCAGGCCCCAGGGTTTGCTGGGACTTGTAGTCCCGCTGGTGCATCTGTCCCGGAAGGGTGGCGGGCACCGCCTCTCCGGAGCCTGCCGAGCCAGGGAGGGGTCGGGGGCGGGGCCTCCGGTG